TAAAAAACATTTTCCATGAAAACCAGAGGTTTCAGTCAATCTCTGCACCAAGGACTAACCCAGGCTGTAACAAATACGGATGGTTTCAATGCAACACTTCCTTGCAACACAGGAGGGACAGAATGCAACAACTACAGCAAGCAAGAAATCAAGATCAGAATCCTAAACAAATGCTCAGATTCCCCCAAATATGAGAGGTTCTACATCATTGTTACTAATATTTTGGTGATGGTTGATGAAACAAGTTTGTCAAATCTTATAACCAGGATAAAACTCTAATATAGGCTAACACACACTGGAGGAAAAGACAAAGACAGTTGTTTGCCTTATTTATCAGCCTGCTATTCACATCTCTCATTACCAGTATCCTTCAGATGTATTACCTTTCAGTAGCAGCTCTAAAGGACAAAGTATCTTTATAGGCTAATATAAGATCTTTCCTGTATTGATCTCTAAAGCACTTAACAGAGCAGATGGCACAAACTCAGGAAATACAGCCTTTCTAAACTGAAAACTGCTACTGTAATACTTCAAAACAAATTGCATTTAATGTTTTCGACTACAGCACTTAAAAATACATAATGTAATACTAGTTAGGGGGACCCTTCCTCCCCCTCCAAACTTCCTAACTTGAAAAGGGCTGATGTTCAGTGCTTTCATTATGATTAGCCTTTTCTCACCATTCTAAGACTTTACTTCCAAATACAGTAATCGAAATGGGTGTTGGCTCCTCAGTTATATCTGAATTTTAGATTTTATTATTTGGATCTATTTAAGGAGATGTGTGAACAAGTTTCCTGTAATAAAAGTGTTGTCAGATCATGCTAGGGTGGAAGTGCATAGCTTTGGAAATTCTGGAGTCTTTTTCCCTCACTTAAACTGGCTCAATTGTCTCTTGTCCACAAATCAACTTAATTACAAATAGATTTCCAGCTGGAATGTAACACGAGATCCTCTTCTAGCCCAAGTATTTACAGTTCACTGTCACAGCAAAAAGGAATCTCTGCAATCTACAGCTAGGTGCACACCAAGCTGCTGTTTGTCTCTCTAGGCTCTTCTGTAAAATCATCAGATTCTCCATCTGGCTGGGACAAAGCTCAGCCTGTAGCCAGGAAGCAGCTGTTCCAAGCAGCAGACTTAAAATGCCAAAATTTTCTTTTTGGACACATTCACACTCCTTCCCGCATGGCCCCACTGCAGGACTGAATCCACCACCTAACCTACCTTCTCCCATCGTCATCACCAATTCTCAGGGGCTTCTTGTAACAAGGTATTTTTTCCATGCTTTATGGCTCCAAACACACCATTAAGCCACAAACAGAAACACCCCTCTCCTTCAGACCTCTCTGCATTAATGGAATAATGCAGAATTCTCTGCAGCATTAAAAGCCTCCAGCCTCCTTCCTGTAACGGTGCACGAAGAGATGCAATTCTGCACTCCCCTTTCTGCAGCACCGAGAACCCTCCCGCGCTGCTCGGGGAGCACCAGCACCCTCTGCTGTCGCACAGCACCTCCAGGATGGGCTGAAACCACAGTCGCTGCACAGGGAATTGCAGGGACAGCTTTCTAGATCCTCTGCCAAGACTCTGAGCCTACAATCTCAGTGGCATTCTGCAATGAACTCTGCACTTCAAGACAGCTTATTTTCAAAAAGAGTGACCGTGTCTAAAAACACTAATCCCAAATGTGCTTTTTATACGAGTAATTTGCACTCATTGAGCAACTGAAAAATACACAAGGCTGACAGGACATCAAGGCCACACTGACAGAGCTATTAACTTCTATAAATGCATCAATACATCACTGTTTGTCCTAAAACCCCATCTTGTAAACTCTTGTAATTACATGGGGCTCAGTTTTGATTTTTTTCTCTACATATTTTGTTCTCTTGGTTGCAGAGAGAGAAACTTGAAAACATTAATTTCAGAAACCCAGAAGGCAAGTACATTTGAAATGTAACATCACATTGTTGAAAAATAACTCAGAAATTTAGATTAACTGATTATTTTGTGCAAGATGTATTCAGTATATACACAAGTTAACTTTGCAATCAGAAAGACATACAATTAGTATCACAGTCAGCACAAAGCAAGGACATCCTGGAAGAACGAGGCCTTGAAAAGGCAATAAATCAAGATGCTTCAAGGGTGTTTTGTGCACATCACTAGCTTGGCAAGAAGACTCAAGGTCTATACAGATAATTGGACCTAAGGAATGCAGGATGCAATTGAAAAAAAAAAAACTAAAATCAAGGAAAAATTTGACTGCTGAA